TGATGCATCAGGTATACTTGTTTGACAAGATGTACCTGCAGAAGATTCCTTTTATGGTTATAAAGTTGAATTAGATGCTGATAAACAATTACGATTACGTCATAATAATAGAGGACGAATGATTTATCACTAGTTCCAATAATAAATGTAGATTTATCTATAAAATGGCTATCGACTATTGAAAAAAAACTTTGAATCTAAAATTCACTTTGAACATGAATTAAAAGCAATGATTGATTTTCTTTCATTTCATCCATCAATTATTATTTGGGATTATTTAATGAACAATGGGGTCAATATGATTCAATATGTTTAGAAAACATGGTTGCAGATCAAGATTGTTTAATCAATACTGCTAGTGGATGGCAAGATCGAATAGGTATTGAACATATCAGAGATATCCATGATTATACAAAATAGATTTTATTATCATCATTTGATGAAATTTTCTTGGAGTTGTAATCATTATTTAATGACATATGCATTCAAATAATTTATTCTTAATCGTTCACTACGTTTATCAGCTATGATTTATACACAATTATCTGATATTGAAAATGAATCGAATGAAATTTTAACATGTAATCGATAAGGAATTAAATCTGTGGCTCCGCAAGTCATACGTATACTAAGAAATCTTTTTTATAATACAATACCGCAAAAACATTTTTAGATATTTATATACATTCTATACCATCATTAGACGATAATGAAGATAAATCTTCTATACATATCAATGCTTTCTGAATAATTTATGCATATTTATTGATTTAAATAAATATATAATGTTTTATTTGACAATGAAAATATTTCTTCTTTTACGTTATCGAGAAGTAGAGTTGATATTCTATTACAACGTAGTGCTCTTGTTGATTCAGTACCATTTGGGAAACGAGCTGAAAATAATAAAATAGCTGGTTCAACACCATTAATTGATGCAACTAAATATAATCATCCTGAATGTGTTAAACATTTATTAGTACATCATGCTAATCCAAATCATAAAAATCATTCGAGTATATCAGCATTAATACTTGCAGCTGAACTAGGTTATTTTGAATGTGTTAAATTACTTGTACAAGCTGGAGCTGATCTAAAATTAGCACCAAATGGTAAGAATAATTCTCTAGAAAACTTTAGGGGTTGTTATTTTTTTATAACATTTATAAAATTAATTGATTTATTTCTAG